TTACTCGTTACTTGAAAAAAGTAATCGGATTACATGCCCATCTCTGCCCGCGACAATATGAAACAGGAAAATACCGCCATGTAATCCATTTATTTCAACAAAGTAACTGTATTCTAAATACCACCTTTTTAAACGGTAACTGTAACAGAATACAGTTACTCATATTTTGTATTTTAAATACTTAACGGCGGTACATGTATTCCGTTACTTCCCAACACTGAAAATCTTGGTGTAATCTTTCACACAAATTTAAAATGTGAAAAGCAAATCAGCGCTGTGGTCAAGAGCAGTTTGTCCCAGCTCAGATGGATCTCAAGATTAAAATCTTTTTAAAAAAAAAAAAAAAAAAAAAAAAGCACATCTGGCAATGATTATGGAAATGAATATGCATTCTTTTGTTATGTCTAGAGTGGACTTCTGTAATACACTGTATACTGGAATTAGTTAATCATCAATGTCTGCTTTCCAGTCACTCTTCATCCAGTCATGTTGTGGCTGAAGCTTATTTTGAAAGGGGGCCATACACAAATCTAACCAATTACTAAGAATGACTAACACAACAATTATTATCCAACTATTATCTGATTCTCCCACGAATTACTGAATACTGAATAAGTCTGGTAACTTATACAGTTTGCTTTTTGGCCAGCTTTCCTTTTAGTCTGGTATTAGACTAGACTTTATTAAGATAGCATCTCCACTTCAGTCTTAGTGACTAAAGTACAAACCTTCTTTGTGGTACAAACCCCAGTGATACCTGATTACTAAGTACAACAAACTAAACTCCTGAATCTTACTTCCTATAATATGTAAATCAAGAGAAAACAGTGTTTTTAAAAAAAGAAAAAGAAGGAAAGAAGCAGTTCAGCCTTTATATATGATAACAAATTTATGTATTTACACGATAGAACACTGAATACAAACCACACTAAGAAACACTGGGCCTAAAGAGACTTCTCCTCTATAACAGAAAGAGTATAGCAGGGTTTGGAGGTCTGGGCCAAGTTGCTGTCAGGAGAGTAATATAGAAACCCGAACTTTTAAACAGCAGGATGTCATGGAGGAGCCAATCAGCAGCAAACACATCGATAGGCAAGCCTGCAGAAGGATCTTCAAAGATCCTCAAATTGAAAGATGTCCCACTATTACAAAAGATTTGGATAAAAACCGCAATAAAGGACACACACTATGTCACATATGACCCAGATGCAACAATGCAAAGATGTACAGATTTGAGAAACTGAGTCTTCCCATCATGTGGGTTCTAATAAGAAGCACCTCTTTTACTCATTCCAATATTTGAAGAGAAGGGTTAAAGTCCCTCCTCTGGCATATTGTTTAACTGATTGCACAACAAGAGTTCAGGTCATGGGAGCTTACACACCGTTTAACGCCCAACACCGGCTAAACAGGACCGACAAGCATATAACTGAAGAAGGTGAGAACAACTGACATGTCTTTCAAACTTGTAACAATGGCCTATTTTTGTGCATATAGTGTACAGCTTACAATGTTACTACTTTTGAGGTAGTTGATTATGGAAGACAGAAGAAGAAACATAAAAATGTGCATGCAGTCTTTACGTGTTGGTCTGTGCATGAAACATGTCTGACTCACAGTGTCTTTCCATACCCAAGTGTTCAGTAATGGTTCGACGTGTGGCAGTAGTTGGAGCAGGCAGTTCTGGTTTGGCCTGTATCAAGATCTGTGTGGATGAGGGGCTCGAGCCTGTCTGCTTTGAAAGCAGTGATGACATTGGAGGCTTGTGGAATTTTAGAGTAAGTGGGGGCACAACCACATTACAAAGTTTGATGATTGTTCTTGCTGTTGTTGAATCCTGTTATTACTGTATATGGAGAAAGGGTTTAGCTTATCCACAACAATCATTATAAACACTGCATTAAAGTGTAGAATGGTTGCAGAGAGATGTTTTTACCTGCTTTGCTCTTGTTTTCATGTGTGTCAACAGGAGACACCTGAGCCAGATCGAACCAGCATCTACCGGTCCTTGGTGGTCAATACCTCCAAAGAAATGATGTGCTTCAGTGATTTTCCAATGCCGTCTGACTATCCCAACTTCATGCATAACTCACAGCTTCTGCAGTACTTCAGGCTCTATGCTGAACACTTTGACCTGCTTAGATACATTAACTTTCAGGTAGATGGCATCTCATCAGCTCAAGTATTCTATGAAAGCAGTGTTGTTGATATTAATGTATATTTTTCTGTGAATGTGGGCATGCACACCTCAGACCACAGTGAGGAGTGTTTTGCAAAGGCCGGATTTCTCTCTATCCGGCCAATGGGAAGTAGTGACCATAAACAAGAACGGACAGGAAGAGAGGCACATCTTTGATGCCGTTCTGGTGTGCTCAGGTCACTACACCCATCCAACATTACCATTGTCTGACTTTCAAGGTAAATAAATGGATATCATAGAGTAATAGTATTTAAATCATGACATTCTTGGAAAAAATGTTTTCCTTGTGACTGTAGCAAAATCTGTATTCCTCCAGGGCATGAAACCTTTTCTGGCAGGTGTCTTCACAGCTGGGAATATAAAGATGCAGATGCCTTCACAGGAAAAAGGGTGGTGGTGGTCGGCATTGGCAATTCTGGAGGTGATATTGCTGTGGAGATTAGCAGATCGGCCGAGAAGGTGAAATGCAAACGTTTGGTTTGTCACGGAGGTACGGGACTGAGAGAGATGATCAAATGTCGACTGTACCGCTTTTGTATCGACAGACCTTTCTCAGTACACGTCAAGGGGCCTGGGTGATGGGCAGGATGTCCACCAATGGCGTTCCTCTCGACATGACAGTAATCAAACGGATCAACAATGTCTTCTTCCAATTGCTCCCCAAGACTTTGGTCAACTGGGCAGCAGAGAGAGCACTGAACAATAAATATGGCCACATATTGTATGGTCTAAAACCCAAACACAGGTAATGTACGTGCTTTTGAAATAGTCGTCACAACTTTACGAACCTTCAAAAAAGACAGCACAATCCCCTCAAACCTGAAAGACACTTACAATTGTAATTCCTACCTAATAAAGACAAAAATTAATCAGAATTATTTCTATATTGTTTCTTGTCTGACATAAGTCTTTCTCGAGTTTTACTCATAATTAAGTACCAGCATGGCATGAGCTGACAATTAAACAACAGCATCTGTAGCAACAGAGACTTCACTACTTTACTTCTTTCACAGACTTATGGAGAGAAAGCTTATGATCAATGACGATCTCCCAGGCCGAATCCTTCAGGGGGCAATAGTCATGAAGCACAATCTGGAAGGGTTCAAGGACTCTAGAGTTGTATTTGAAGATGGCACGGTGGAGGAGAACATTGACGCCGTGGTATTTTGCACAGGTTACATTGGAAAGTTCCCATTCCTACCATCAACTCTGTCAGAGGGACCATATGAAGAGGTGACACTGTACAAGTAAGTTCAAGGTGGACAGAGTGGATCACTGACTTGCATGGGTATCCTCTCAAATGTAAAGTCTAGAGATTAAAGTTTGAATCATACATGATACGTTTTTTGGGGGTTGGTGCTGCAGGCAACTTTTACAGTGCTATCATATTAAAATTCTTAAAGTACCACCACATAGTTTTATCTTTCACGTTTTAGGAGAGCGTTTCCTCCATCCCTGCAACCTCCCACACTGGCCGTCATGGGACTTTTCCAAGTAAAAGGTCCAATCATGCCTACAGTGGAAATGCAGGCTCGCTGGGCTGTTAAGGTCTTTTTAGGTAAACTCTTCAAACAAACACATAAGCTTACACGAGGTTTGGGGAAATAGTAGCTGAAACATCATATCTTTAAGGTCAGAGTCGTCTTCCAACCAAAGAGAAAATGCTGGATGTCATTGAGTCTGAGAGGAGGAGAAACATGCAAAGGTAGACATCATTTCTGAAAGTTATTAAATGGCCCTGGTCAATTACTTATTCCCATTAAGTCCTGTTAATGATACAAGAAAGTATTTCTTTCTCAGCTATCCCTGTCCACGGCAGGCTGTTCTACAGGTTGATTACATCCCATATCTGGATTTTATGGCTGGGGAAGTAAGTTCACTTTAGCTATAAATAAAATTTTCAACATTAATCATAGACAAATCCTTCATAACAGATTTTTATTCACAGGTAGGTGTTCGACCAAAACTCCTGAGGCTTTTTCTGAGAGACCCTGTGCTCTGGGCAAAGGTCTTCTTTGGTCCCTGCACACCTTATCAATATCGTCTTAGTGGGCCTGGAAATTGGTCTGGTGCCAGACAAGCTATCTTCACTCAGTGGGAGCGGGTTTCTCAACCGTTCAGAACCAGAGAAATACCAGACAACACCAGTAAATTTGGCTTGTGTTCTCCGCTGATGCTCACATTCACAGGAACTGTAATTATAGTCGTGCTTTTTTCTAAAGGCAAGATTGTTACGACCCTGGAAGCTGCTACTGAGATGCTGACCAAAAGCACAGTTTTTCTGAGGGAGTTGTGGTTCAGCTTACCACAGAATCCTGATATGTAATGTATTAATAGACTTAATTAACATAACAACAATTTTAACAACAAAATTATTTAACATGGATTAAAGAGGAAAGAAAACAGGTCTGTGAATAACAGAAAATCAGTTTGTTTGTTTTTTTCATTTCTGTGTATTCATTTCCTGCTGGCCTGCAGGGAAAGAGGAGATAAATTGGGAGTCTCCTTTTCTTGTCGTAGTGTAAAAATCATGTGCTGCAATTATGTAATATTATACAGTTGTAAAGGTACCTACCAGTTCCAAAGGTCTGCATAATCTTCACACTGAGGCCTGAGGATGATAACAGTGTGTGCCATTTAAAATATGTGAAAATGCACAAATGCACCATTTTCTACCTGCAGTTCTTCTTGTCTAACACTCATGGAAAAAAGCAAATAAAGACATTGCCTAAAATACTGAAAAAAATGTTTTCATTTATATAAAACTGTGTTCTTTCGTGGTTCAGGATATGAACACTCACTCCTGGAAAAAAATATTTTAATTTGCATTGGTTCTTTTGACAGACTTGAGCCTAAAACTGAAAAAATATGTCATAAAACGCAGCTTTTGTTTCAGGCTTTTCGTTTTTAGGATATGAAAGATATGAATATGAATATGATATAAATATGAAAGATAATTAACAAAACCAAAAACTTAAAACAGGCAGACCAATAAAAGAGGTCAACTCAACAAACTAAACTCAAAATAACAACTAACAAAACATCAAACAAACATAAGACAAACTGACTTCCTGAAATGACAGGAGGGAACTTAAATACTAGCTTAGCTAAATCATATGACACACAAGGGGGGGGGGTGACTGACATATAACCAGCTAACACAAAACTGTTAAACGAACTCCAAACACCCCCCAGGCAATGAAGCATGTGGTTTAGTCCACTGAGGCTGTCAGCAGTACTTCAGATCCCCCAGCCCTTTTGCCAGCCAGGAAGGAGAAGCCAAACCCCCAGGTAACTGAAACAAAGAAAGATGTAACACAAAACAGAACTTTGACCTTACAGCGTCGATATGTGTGCACCCCATATTAACATTGGAAGGTGTGATGGGGGAAAAAAACGAATTTAATAAGGAAACAGTATTTTTGAAAATAAGTGTAGTGACTGCAAAGTAAACTAAAGTGAAGCAACTAGTGGTGAGGTGCGGAGCTTACCATGTGTGGCTTGCCATCACAGGCCCTAAACAGAAAACCCAACATTTTCTGTTTATGGAGAACAATGCAACCAGGCCCTGTAGTGTGTTATGTGTGTGTTGTCATTCATTTACAGTCTCAAGAAGTTAAAACTGCTGACCTCCCTAAAACATCCATGGTTAACCTGGGACCTCCCAAAAACTGCTAAATTAGAGCTAATCCAAAAGAACTAAGTCCAAAAGGGCAAGTAAGGAGATACAATCATCTATCTTGCTTAAGGTTGAGTTGGCATATTGTAACTCCAGTGTGTCTGTTGAAGCTCCAGTGAGGAGTAGATTATGGTTTGCAGAGTTAATGCTAAAGAAAACCACTTACATATTAATGCTGGTATTTACTTAAAATCTGATGCTTCCGTGCACAAAGGCCCTCCCACTGGAATTTAAATTATTGCTGTTACTCAAAGACACTGACTTGAGCTCATAACAATGCTTTATTTGGCCACTTGAGCATTACTAAGACATATAAATTAATAATAATATATTTCCTATGGGCCTGGATTGAAGCCAGATGTTATATTTTCATACTTGTCACATATGTCACATAACCATGTGATTCCTCCTGTACCTCCTACTAGTACTACTATTACTTAGTTTGGGGAACGTTTTGAGAAACTAATTGTAGACTGTGTATTGAAAAGGCTGCATTTCTCATTGCAAAGTCCAGAAAACTTCAATACAGAAAATTTGGGGCTTAAATACGGTTTATATTAGTAACATATTAGAAGCAGATCTTGGGTGTTTGTTTAATTACAAAAAACAAAAAAGTACAAGTTTTTGTATAATTTCGGTCTTTATTTATTAACTTGGTTTATTGACTCTTGTTCTGCTCAATGATCAGCCTGCCTTGTCTGATAAAATATAACTGATTACTTAAACAGGAGGACAGGAATCCATTCTTCCTCTCTCCCTGTGAAGAAGAGGTAAGGCTGACATATCTTTAGTTTGTGGTGATTTTATTTTTATTTTCTAATGTCCTTAACTTTGTAAGAAACTTTTTAATGGGGTGCCTCTGTCAGTGTGCCCCAGGGTGGCTGTGGCTACAATGTAGCTTGCCATCACCAGTGTGTGAATGGGTGGATGACTGAACGTGTAAAGCGCTTTGGGGTCCTTAGGGACTAGTAAAGTGCTATACAAATACAGGCCATTTACCATAATAAGCTGGTATTTCATTAATGTACTTTTTAAAATTGTGTTTGTTAAAGTTCCAGGGAAAAGAAAATCCTTTGAATTGAGAGCTAACACCATCAGTCTCAAAACATAAAATCATTTACAGACTTGTTACAGCATGAAAATCACTGGAGGAACCCCTTTTTTGCCACTAATGTTATTAATCTGTGTTTTACAAGTGAAAATCTCTACAGTAAATTAGGTCTGTTTACTCCAAACACTTAGGTATTAGACCAAATCACAGCACCATTGCTAAGGACAAGTAAAACTAATTGGATTCATTTTTGGAGGAAAACTGAAGAAAATGTAAATGTGCAGCTTTTCAAAGTAAGATGTCATTTCAGTCTCATTCGGCACTTCTCTGCGTGCTGCTGAATTTAATGTAATTATCCTTGATTGACTCAAGAAAAAAAGGCACACTCACATGCAAGTTAACAACTCCGAAACAATGGGTGTGAAACAGTCATGCTATAAACATAAAACTCAACCATTTTTCAAAGTGCAAACGTCTGTAACAGATCAGCTAGCTGTGCAAGCATGGTTCAGAGAGTGGCAGTGATCGGTGCAGGACCCTCGGGACTGACGAGCATCAAAGGCTGTCTGGATGAAGGTCTGGAGCCCACATGCTTTGAAAGCAGTGATGACATTGGAGGTCTTTGGAGATTTAAGGTGGGAAACAATGGGGTTTTTTGGGGGGATATAAGTGAGAGCATATTGAAGTGAAGCTTAACATTCAAATTGTTGAATCATTTCTTGCAAGGTTTACTGTTTTTAAATACAGACACGTAAATGGAAGTTCAAAATTTAGAAAAGAAATTGTAGAAAAAAAATGTAAAAAACGAGCTTTTGAAAAAAGTTGAAAAATTAGTTGCTTTAAATTCTTGAATCATGTATTTCAAACAACCTTTGTTGGGAATATGTGACAAAAAAGATCTGCAGTGCTATTTTTTCTGTAGTGACACACACAGAGATGTGTGTCACTACTTTGCTGAGAATGACTTGTGTGACTGAGTGAGGCGGAGGGCTGCAACGTTAAAGCAGAGATCCCAGAAAATGTACTTAACTGGCTGGTCTAACATGGATCAAGTGTTAAAATGAAGAGCAGTTCAGTCATTTTGATACTGAAGTGAAGTGCGGAATCTGTTCCCAGCTGTTTTGTGGTTTTAACAAAAGCTACATTACTAAAGTAATGTAAATTCCTTAATTCACTGCTCATACATCAATTCAAAGTTTAAAATAAACAATTTAAATTTCACTGGAGTGAAGGAGAGAGATGGTATCAAAGTTGGAGAGAGTGGGCAACTATCCCACAGAAACGTGTGAAAATAGAGAAGACACATCCAGGGATTAAGAGACCTGTAAGACCCTGACAGAGTTTTGAAATATACTTAAAGTCAGAGTTTAAATAGAAGCAAAGTTGCATTGTTTTTTGTCTTTATGTTCTCCTCCTTCAGGAGAAGCCAGAGCCGGGGCGGGCCAACATCTATAAGTCAGTGATCATCAACAGCTCCAAAGAGATGATGTCTTTCAGCAACTTCCCGCCTCCTGCTGACCTCCCTAACAACATGCATCACTCTGAGGTCCTGCTGTATCTGCGTCTGTATGCTCAGACGTTCAACCTGCTGCCACACGTACGCTTCCAGGTCGGTGATCTTCATAAAGAAGAAAAAACAAAAATTATAGTGTCTGCTTTATTGCACAGGCGTAATGATGTCTTAATAATGTCTTGCCGGTAAGATGAATGTCAGTGCAGATGAATGTCAGTGAAGAATATTTATCGGTGTCTGTGTTTGTGTCAGACTACTGTAATCAGCGTGAGGCAGACGACAAATTTTGAAGTGACGGGTCAGTGGGAGGTGGAGACGGAGAGCAGAGAGGGTCAGAGGGAGACCCGTGTTTTTGATGCCGTGATGGTTTGCACTGGACATTTCACCCAGCCTCACCTGCCACTCAGAGACTTCCCAGGTAAATTTAAGAAATGCAGCAGCTGCTCTTGCTCCAACACAACAGATGTCACACACTGTGTTGTGTGTTAATGTTTCAACGGTGGTTGAAATGACTGACAAATATTTGTATTTAGCGACAAATTCAGTATATTGTTTTTAATCATTCCAGGTATTGAGAGTTTCCGAGGCAAATATTTCCACAGTTGGGAATACTGCAGTGCTGAGGGTCTGGAGGGGAAAAGGGTGGTGGTCATCGGGATTGGGAACTCTGGTGGTGATATTGCTGTGGATGTCAGCAGGGTTGCGGAGAAGGTAAGCTGCTGTGCTACATTTCTTTACTTCTATGTTGTATTCAAAAAGAACAGTGATGTTTATGAATATGAAAGCACTGTATTCTTAAAGCAATGTAACTCGTGAATCTGAAACCTCCTTGTGCTGACATGACCTGCAGGTGTACCTCAGTACCAGAAGTGGAGCATGGGTTCTTGGCCGTGTAGGGCCAGGGGGACTTCCGCTAGATGTTGTCGGGAGTTCTCGAATGGACGCACTGATACAAAAGCTCTTCCCCTCATGGGCCAACACAATGTTGGAGAAGAAGCTGAATCAAGCGCTGGACCACAAACTATATGGCCTGAAACCGAAACATGGGTAAAAACATGGTCAAACATTTGAATTAAAAATACATCATCATAACCGAGAACTTCAAAAATTATGTGTTAAATGTTCCAAAGGAATTGTAACAAATGGTAAATACAAAACTAAAGTATATATTTGTTAAAAGAGCGTGAATCTGAAACACACGTGGTGTAATGTGCAGCATGTTTATGGTCTAAGCAAAGTTTTTTATGTATGTATGAATGTATTTATTTAGATAACAGTGACTTGATATCTTGCCATGACTACTGTATGTTTGCACCAGGTATTTGTGTCTAACTGCCTTGGTCACTAACATAGCTCCTGTAAAACTGTATTCAGCTTTTTTGCACAGATTCCTGTAGTGAATGATGACTTGCCGGCTCGAATCATCTCAGGTCGTGTTGCAGTGAAACCAAACGTGAGGGAGTTCTGTGGGTCCAGTGTGGTCTTTGTTGATGGAAGCACCATAGACAAGGTGTTTATCACTTCAACAACTATTCTGTTCAGGTGAAAAATATAGGATATGCTAGTAGTAATTCTTGGACTATCCCTTTTCATTTGGTTTTATTTTTGAAATGATGTAAAGGGGATTTAAATGCACATGTTCATCTAATCCCAGGGTTGTTTGTCTGTCATACAGGTGGATGTGGTTGTATTTGCCACAGGGTACAACTACAGCTTTCCTTTCCTGCCCTCGGCTCTACAGGCTAAATGTGGTTACAGGCTGCAGCTCTACAAACATGTGTTCCCTCCTGCACTGACCTCACCAACACTGGCAGTGGTGGGCTTCATACATGGCTTTGGTGCTATTAACCCTCTGGCTGAGATGCAGGCTCGTTGGGCTACAAGAGTGTTTAAAGGTAAAACATAAAAAGGTATAGGAGAATATTTTGATTGTGCAAAGTCATGGAAGGGGTTTCAGTAGGAATTCTGCGATGTATGCTTTATATTTTTGAATTGAGAAAACACTAGAGCTATTAATGGAAACCTAAAGCATATGCTCCAGTGCGAAAGTAAGATCATCATGCAATAACTCTCTGTGTTTGAAATTGTTCTGAATTTTTTCCATGACAGGTTTAACATCCCTCCCCACAGAGGAGAACATGATGAAGGAAATTGAGAAGGACACGGCAACCATGTATCAGAAGTAGGAAATTATTTTTAAGATATATTAAAAAGCTGCTCATCTCCACCAGAATCCTTATTTTTTGTATTCTGATGAATGTTTTACAAAGTGTCTTAGCTTAGACTGGTTAATACATGCTTTTTCAGTGTCATCTGTTATTTCTTTATTTGCTTCTCTGTTAGGTTTGCATGCTCAGAACGCAACCCACTGCAAGTGGACTACATCCCTTACATGGACTCTCTGTCTGAAGAGGTCGGGGTAAGGCCAAACATACCATGGCTCTTTTTTAAGGACCCAACACTGGCACTGCAGGTTTTTTTAGGACCCTGCACACCATACCGGTACCGTCTGACTGGACCAGGAAAGTGGGCTGGAGCCCGTCAGGCTATCCTCACTCAGTGGGACCGGGTGTTTCAGCCTTTTAAGACCAGAGTGGTAACAGAACCAAAGCCAGACATCAAACATTCTTCTGAACTGAGCATAATAATGTCTCTCTCAGGTGCTGCTCTGTTGTGTTGTATCTTCTACAATAAGCTCCACTTTGTCTCTTACTTCTCTGCTTCTTCATTCCAGAGATCTCTTCAGTTAATTGCAGGGTGAATGAAGGAGATGTAGGCAGAGATTGTTTTTACAATACAGTGCATCATTTGTCAAGCTGAATAAGAAATAAAAAATATATATTAAAATTAAAATATTAAAAATGAAAAAACTGGATTTGTTAAATCTGCACAATTTATTTTTATTTTTTCATGGTGTGGTTTTTGGTAACTGTTGCTTTTTTGCATCATGCCTATCTACAGAAACTTGTATTTGAGTCACTGTTTAATACTGGCAACAGAAAATTATTTTCAATGATTAATTATATATAGTATGGTTCAAACAAAGTTGCTAAAGTTAAACTTATGCACTCACTGGCCAGTTTGTTAGGTACAGAAAACTCAATGCATTTAAGCCTTCAGACATTGCTAAGACAACATGTTGAAGTTCAACCCAAGCATCAGAATGGAGATAAAAGTTGATTGAACTGACTGAATGTGGCTTGCGTGGGGTTGTTTGTGGCATTTCCGATATTTCAGAAACTGCTGATCTGTGGGATTTCCCTGCAAGTCACCTCCAGAGTTTTTAGAGAATGGTCCAAAAAGGAGAAAAATGTTAACCACACATTATAACTAAGGTATTCAGAAGATCATCACTGAATATACAAAAACACATTGAAGCAAAGGGGCTACAGCAGCATACCATTGCGGGTGCAACAACCAGAAAACAATTCATACAAGCTCAAAAAAAATTCTCAAGATTGATATTAATATCGCTGAACAATCAAAGTGCAACAGCATGAGCTATTCAATAGATGTCAGTGATTAGCTGCTATACACAGCATGCCACCACATTTTCCTCACGGTAAAGTAAGGTGCACTAAAGTTCACCAGAAACGGAACATTAGTGCATCTTACTTGTGGAACCATGAGAAAATCTTTTATCCATAGGAATGAATAATCATTAAATATTGTTAGTACAGATAAAAGTGTCCAATCTGCAAAATGAAGACTGAGTAATTCGCCCCCTGGTGGTACATACTGAGCATAAGCGAAAGCCTGATCCTGTGAGCCTGATCCGCAAGGTCAAGGAATCATCCACTTACAGACAAAGCAATCCACACCAATACAAATCACTGGACAGATCTGTTGCTGTGCAAGTGTAGCAAAAGTCACGTGTTTAAAAAAACAAAAACCAGCCAGAACTTAAGCATGGTTGTGAATACGCACACCCAAACAGATGAAATCCCACTTAAAACACAGTACATTACAAATGTAAATTAAAAGAATTCCTTTTTTCCCCATCCTGTACTGTAGTAATCGGAATTATTGTCTGAAGGCCAAGAAAAATGCCATTATGGCTTTTGCTAACGGTTTGTTCAATTTTTTTCTATTTTAAGTTATTATAATGGGACTAGTTGACAGGAAAGAAAAAGAAGAAGGAAAGAAAAGTTGGGAAGAGAGTTAACAGAACGAGAGGAAAGAAAAATGGAGGAGAAGAGGGACAGAGAGAAAAGACACTAGAAATCTGCTTGATCACCTGCTGAAAAAAAAGCAAAAATAAAGCAACAACCAACAAAAGCATAAGTAACAGTAAATAAGTAAATAGTAACAGTAAATAATTAAAAGAAATACTAAACTAGTGTGGACAAAGTACCCCTTGCACTTAGCCACAGAGTTAGCCTCAGTCATTTCAGTCTCATTCTGTTTACTCATATTAAGTCTCCTTGGACAGGTCAGCAGTCCATCCAAGGGCTTGTTTGCTTTGGAATCAATGATTAGCACCCTACTTGCGCAGCTCTCACTCTAGCTACTACTAGGCTGCAGGCAACACAAAAATTATTTTTTTCTTCAACATACTAGAGGTAAGAACTTTGTATAACATTTGAGTTCATAAGTGTAGCAGAGTAATGTTTACAGCACTTTGTAATGTATGTAGGCTACCACTCCTGCATGCAGTAGCAGATCTATTAGTAGCTTTGCTTATGTTTAACAGTCACGGTCCTGGACACGGACCCAGAGTTTTGTATTTGAAATTATTATACAGTCTTTGATTTCATCGCTGTTTAGTTTTTTGTCTCTTGACTTCTTTCTCTGTGTTTCCCCCTGTGTCACGTCTGATCTAGTTATGTTTTCATGTCTGTGTGCTGTGTTTCCTCCTGCTTTCAGTGTAAAGTTCCTGCCTCTGTGTCTGTCTCATGACCTCCCATGTCTTTGTGGTTTTTCTAGTGTTCCTAGTTTTCGTATATTTAGTTTAGGTTTAGATTTTTGTAATTGGTTTCTCATTTATCTGGGGGGGGGTTAGTGTTTGGTTCATGTTTTTCGGCCTCAATAAAAGGCACGCCTTTTGTTATAATCCAGTTCTGCTTTTTTACGTTTCGTCCATCTGCACTTGGGTCCACTAACTTCCACTGCCTGCACAGACCGTGACATTAACGATGACAATAAAGTTTGTCATATCAAAGCAATGCACATTCATTATTTAAATGTTTAAATAAAGATCAACGCTGTCGTCATATCATCTAGGGCAGGACTAGGCAACTCCAGGCCTCAAGTGCTGGTGTCCTGCAGGTTTTAGATGTGTCCTTGATCCAACACAGCTGTTTCAAATTGTCAAATTACTAACTCAGCATGTCTTGAAGTTCTCCAGAGGCCTGGTAATGAACTAATCATTTAATTCAGGTGTGCTGAGCCAGGGTAATATCTACAAAATCTAAAAACCTGCAGGTAGTGATGGCCAAATGAAGCTTTCTGAAGCACTGAAGCTTGTATTGAAAAATAGTTAATTACTCGAAACTTTTCAACACAGTCCTCTCTGGTGACATCTGGTG